GAAGTTGATTCCCTTACTACAGGTGATGAACCCAAACCATCAATGGTTGGTATGAGTGCCATGTCGTATCTGAATCTTTTCCCACACAATACCGTCACCGAAGAAAACGTTGGAAGACTCCACAGCAATCCCGAGGGCAAGATTGGTACGATTGATTATCATTGTACTGTGACCGATGGAGTAGCTTTTGCAAGAGGAATGTGCCAGGGATGGCTAGAATTCGATCTTGATGGCGAGAAGGCAGGAGTGTTGATATTTTTTGGCGGTAATGGCACAAGATCCATCGGAGCTGAGGGCATCATTACCGGTGGGACCGGAGCATTGAGAGGTATCACTGAAGGAAATTTTGTGAAAAACAAAATTGTGTATGACAATGCAGGTGATCCTTTAGTTCTCGAAAGATTTACTGGGACTGCCTCTTTTGCTTAAAACTATTGAATGCATGTCGGTTGGAACATAACGGATTGTAAGTTCTATACCAGTAGAGGAACTCAGTGGAGCGAAGCACAAAAGATCAACAATTTAATATTTATATGGTATTTTGATGTACCTAGGACAATACCTATTTATGGACAGTCGTCAATAGGCCATGCATCTGTTATTGGGTGATCCCCGCAAACATATTAATATGTAAAAATGAGACCGGCCGGCTCGAAAAAATATGTAAATTACACAGATTTTGGTTGTCGTGGGCCCACGACAACCAGAATCTGTGTATGTGACATATTTTTTCTTTGGAATCCTTGAGTTAGATTTTTAGTGTGACTGGGCGCATGCACACTAAATGATATGGGCGCTATGTGCCATACGGATTCCAAATTCCGAAAATGGGGGGAAAATATGTAAGTTGAGTTGGCAGTCTGTGTCTTCTGTACCACTGAAACGTATTCCCGCTGACATAAACCGAAATATGTTTGCGGGAATCACCCATTGTGAGCCTAAATTTAAAAGAATTCCCCGTAAGCATTTCAACGTACCGGGTAGGATACGATACCGACGGTACAGTGCCGTACGATTGTCTAATCCTTCGAAATCAGCTTTGAGTTCATTTTTTGCCAAAGAACAATACTGCTAGAAGTACAGTACAGTAAGTACCCGTAATTCTATCCGTTGCTGTAGCATGCGCGATCAAAGAATTAAGAAGGAATGGCATGTTTAGTTGCGATTGGTCGGTTATTTTACTTACGATTAAAAAGAAATGATTGGTCGCATAGGCGAAAATTCGGCAATCGCTGATTATCCCGGATCAAGGTTTCGGAAACTTTTGCTCGTCTTCTGTGATACTGCGATCGACAAAAACCCAACCCTTGTTGTTGTGTTGTCTGATTACCCCACACGAGGTACTCATACCGTTCCGAGAACAACCTATCTTCGTGTAGGGCACCATCTCTCGCCACAATAAAAATTGCTATATTCCGAACAGACACCCACTCAAACACCAAACTAAAATGGATCCCGAATCAGAGCCTCGCTCCACGCCCCCAGAGGACAAAACGAGCGTTGCCACGGCAAGCACCCAGRAAGCCGTCCTTCCCGAGGGATGGTCGACCGCTGTCTCTCCAATCGATGGMCGCAAATACTACTGGAACCAGTCAACGGGTGCTACGAGCTGGACGCATCCGAGCACGGGCGRAGCTGCCGCAGCCCCCGCTCCCGTGTCYTCCCCTATCATTACGGCCCCAAGCCTGGGAGAGTTTTCCGGCATCATGGCGGCAAGAAGCGCGGCGATCGACAAAGACGTTGAAACGGGCAAGACCGACTACGCCGCAATGGATGACAAGGGAGACTTCCACGAATACGATCCCAACCAGGCTGTCATCAACAGCCACCGGTGTTATTCGATCGTCGCCTTTCTCCTGTTTTTCCCCCTTGGAATGATCGCGTTGTGCAAATCGTGCAGCGTCGTTTCGAAATACCACCAGGGTCGATACAAGACCGCCCATGACCATTCCCAACAAACTCTTCTCTTCTCGCGCATTTCCTGCATCATTGGTGTGTGTCTATGGAGTTACATCGGCTACTGCTTGTGGGCAGGACCCGGGCCCGGCGTCATCGAAATCCCAGCGGAATGGTGGCCAGAATGGAAATAAACACTCCCTTGTAAAACGATCTCCTCCTGTCCGTCACAAACAACACACCTCCTGCCAGCTGCAAAGAGGACCARAGCCCCAATCAATCATCACTCATTCCACGGTCTGATTACCAACCGCCAAAATTCGGGAAAGAGGAAAACCGTAAAACAACCTTTTGCAGCGCAAAATTCACGAAGCAGGACGAACAGGAATCAGCCACCTCATTTTTTGCATACTACTATTTTTCATGTTCTGTTGTAACAATCTTGACCCACTTATTGACAATAATAATATCACCTCCAATAATACGCATRCAAGTGTCATTTGATATGTAGCTCCAACTTAAGTACTGCCGTTCCTCATACAATGCTGTTTTCTCACACGAGAATTCAGTTCGTAGAGATCATGTCATCACTTATTTTCTTATCGTCTTTCATTTCTTTGAAGACTAGGAACTGGTGATCTATAATCATTAGTGAGTTTATCAAGCAGTGCGTTTCTCTATCTTTGGTTTTTCTACTATTTTTGTTTTTTGTTGTTGCTTGCCAAACTCACCAAACCCATCGCAAGATTTTGGGAACRGGAACAGTCCAGTATCGGTTCAAACAATTCGACCGTGTTTCGGGGTTTCTTGATTCCCAGAGGGCACGGCTTCTTTCGTGTGGTTGCTTCCCCGGGGAATCGTGGCACGGAAGCAGGCGCACCGCTGCGCCTACGCCTGCGAACTCTCCCCGGGGCGGGGACCCTCCCCGGGGCGGGGAGTGCCGGTTCCGCCGTCGTCGGCCTGCGAGGCTCAGAGTGCCTGGCCGTCCACGCCGATCAAGCCGGACCCACCGCTGTCGTCGTTGCTGCTGACGGGCTGKCCGTCCGCCCCAAAGAGGGTCGGTGCCCCGCCGAYGGCCCCGGACAGGATGTCGACCAGCTGGATCTTGAAGAAGAGCGTGCTGCCGCCCGGGATTCGGCCGTCCGGCGTCCCCTCGGCCCCGTAGGCCTCCTCCGGTGGGATCCCGAGCATGGCCGTCTCACCCTTGTGCATGGCCAGGACACCCTCGCGCCACCCGGGGATGACCTGGGCCAGGGGGAACTTGACGGGCTCCCCGCCGAGGGTCGAGTCGAAGACGGTCCCGTCCGACAGGGTTCCGTGGTAGTGGATGACGACGACGCTCCCGGCGGTGGCCCGGGCGCCCTGGCCGGGGCCCTCCGGTCCGTGCTCCAGGACGTGGACGCAGACCCCCGAGTCGAGGGCGATGACCTCTTCGGTGTCCGCCATGTTCTGCAGCATCTCGCGGCCCCGGAGCTCGAGCTTTTCGCGGAGGGCGTTGCTGCGGTTCGGTTCGGTTCGGTATGGTTTGTTTGTTTGTTGTTTCCAGGATCGATCGAAATCCAATTTTGTTCCGTAGCGATATATTCCGACATTTGCGCCGGGTTGGTCGTTTTGAATATTTGMGGGAGATTGGTTGCAAAGTGTTGTTTTGATCGCAAGAGGCACCGCATAACGAGACGAGAAGAGAAACGACGGGAGCAACACGGGGAGAAGAATTGTGAGACGAGTCGACCCACGGACGACGAAAACACAAGGAGCCAACCTTCCCTGCATGCATGCATGCATGCATCCACGGCGATCCATCCGCATCCGCCGCGTTGCCGTACAATACTTACGCCCGGCCCGCAATCAGCTGGTCCAGTTCCCGCCCGCGCTTGCTGAGGAGCAACCGCTGTCCGTCGTCGTTCAGGCGGCCGACGACCGTGTCGAGGAGTCCCTTGGCGACCTGCGCGAGTTCCTCGCCGGATTCGACCAGGGGCCGGATGTCCCCGAGCTGCCGCGCCAGGTTGACCCCCAGGGCGTACATGAGCTCGTCGTGCGTGTCGGGCTCGACCCGGACCTCGTTGGTTTCGTCGCCCGAGGCACCGGAGAGATCGAATTCCTCCCCCACCATGCGGAGGGTGGAGGTGGGCGAGGCCGCGACGGATGGCTCTTTCAAAAACGCCGCTGCTGCCATTGCCTGGTTCGTGTTGGGTGCCATGAAAGCGGCGGCGGAGGGAACTTGTTGGTAGGTTGCGAGGAGTCCCAGGACGAGACCGGAGATGGCGGGAGACATGGTTCGGTGTGCGGAAGAAATAATCTTCTGTGCAGCGTACGCGTACGAGTAGCGGTTGTTGGCGTTGCGTCTGTTTTTGTTTTGAGGATGCAAACGATTAAAAGACGTGGATCGGTCGAGGGGTTCCCAGCCGATGTCGTCGTTTGGAATCTTTTTTTTACAAATTTGTAGTTATGGTACGAATTCGTGCGTCGTGTCCGGGAGTCATACGAGTAGCGTAGGGAGTTCATTATTGATCTACCGGACAGATACTCGTACCTACGGTACGAACCGATTGTTTCAAACTAGTGATGTACTTTCCTCCTCGGGGGCTAAAAAACAGTAGACAGTACAATTCAGTACTACGGCTGCGTACTGTGACGGCAGTTGCAGCTACTTTCATTTCCAGATGCCATGTTTCTACCGTACCGTACCGTACTTCGATCTCGGGAATGATGCGGCATGTGACGACGACTGATGTGAAAATGCGTTTTACTTAGCAAAGGTCAAAACCATGTGTCACTCGAAACACAAACCTGTTTATTGCCCTTGCGACTCCCACCACCACCCGCTTTCCCCGAGCGGGGCCGATCGCGCGCCTTGCACGCCTATGCCTCTGGTTGTGTGGCCATCGTTCATCGTTCCTTCCACGTTCGATAGTTGGGGGGGGGGCGGACGTCGTCCTTACCCGTGACTCGTTGGCTCACTCGGGATTGATCCGGGGTGTGTTGTTGTTGATTCATCAATTCATTCGTTCATTCGTTCTTTCTTGCACTTCACCCAMCCATCAACGAAGATCGATGATTGGTTTTGTTTTGTTGGAAGAAAAGTGATGGCACTCTTTTTGACGGGGAAGAACCTGTTCGACAACGACCATTCYCCTACTACGTACGGTACCGCATCATCCCCTTCAAACAAAACGACAAGAACGAACACATAGCAACAGCAAGCGCAAGGGACACCCGACGGATCGCATTCCGCACCCGACTCTGAGACGGACAGCACCGAAGAAACGCAAAAAGCAGGCAGCGGCGAGTGTGGACCACCGACCAACAACACGGAGGAAAACGAGAAAGACCATCATGGCAGCGCTGTTCCCCCGCAAACCGCACCCGGTCCGCTTTTTCGCGATAGTCCTTCTGCTGTTTTGGACCGCGGATTCCTTTGTCTTCCACCGTGGCATCCGTGCTCCGCCAACCGACTGTTGTCCCGCAAGCCCCCCGGCAACAACCGCAGCGCCCCCCCGGACGACGTGGCGGCTCGGAGCGCAGCGGCGGTCGACCAACAACAAAAAGGCCGCGGGCAAAAAGAAGAAAAAGAAAAAGAGCCCCGGCCAGGTCGGCCCCAAAAAGGCGAGGACCAAAAAGAACGAGGGGAAGGCCAAGAGGTCCCCGGGGGCCGGKGGGCCCGCGGAAAACCCCATGGCCGCGGGGGCCCAGAAGAAGAAGCAGCAGAAGGTCGCGCCCCCCTGGCAAACCCTTAGCGGAAGCGACATGAAGAAGAACGCGGAGGCGGAAAAGCAGCGACGCAAGCTGGCCCAGGAGACCGGCCGGCACATGTCCCCCGACGAGCTCAAGGAAACGCAGGTGGGCTACCAGCGGTCCAAGACCTTCCTGTCCCCCCAGGACCAGGCGCTGATGGCCTGGAAGCCCTTCGCGCTGAGCCCCAACAAGCAGGAGGTCCTTTTCCAGGGGGCCTTTCTGAACAAGCAGATGCCGCCCCGGCTCGGAACGCCCGAGGTGGCCTTTCTGGGGAGGAGCAACGTCGGCAAGTCCTCGCTGCTGAACAAGCTGGTGGGGAAATCGGACCTGGCCCGCGTCGGCAAGACGCCGGGGGCCACCGCGTCGGTCAACCTGTACGGGATCTTCGAAAAAGGCAAGAAGCAGCCCGCGGCGGGYGGGGGCAAGGCCTCGAAGCCCCTCATGGGGCTCGTGGACCTCCCCGGCTTTGGGTACGCCAAGCTCGACAAGGAGACGAAGCAATCGGTCCAGGACACGGCCGAGAACTACCTGGCCAAGCGCAAGGAGCTGGCGCTGGGGATCCTGCTGGTGGACAGCCGGCGCAAGCCCACCATGGACGACAAGGGCGTCCTGGCCGCCCTGTACGACATGGGGCTGCCCCTCATGGTGGTGGCGACAAAGGTCGACAAGTTCTCGACGCAGACCCAGGTCGACGAGGCCCTCGGTGTGATCAACCGGGAGCTGGGCCTCCCGGAGGGCCAGCCCCTTTGCATTAGTTCCGTCGAGGGGACCGGGATCAGGGACCTGTGGAGGATCGTCATGGAGGCCTGCGAGGGCCACGTCGGCGAGCTGAAGCAGAACGCCGAGAGCGGCGGGGACGAGGACCGGTACGCCGGCGGCAGCGACGACGACGACGGGGGCTACGGGGACGAGGACGAGGACGACGGAGAGATTGCCTACAGCCAGGGATACGACTGGATCCAGGGCTCGGTCATGTACGAGGCCGACGAAGGAGACTATRGATACGAGAGCGACTACGGCTATGCGGGAGACGAAGACGACGGCTACGACGATGGCTATGACGACGACGACGACGACGACGGTTATGGTTACGGCGACGATGGCTACGGCAACCCACCGGAGCTTCCGCAGCGGGAAACRCTGAAATCCCTGAAAAAGAGGGCAAAGGACATGGAAAAACGAGGAGAGGTATAGCACTAATGCCATATTTTAAAGAAAAAGAAAAGAAAATGTATTTTCGTTCGTTCTATAATTCTATTCCGTGGTGCTTCGCATTGCGGGGAAACGGAGCTAGCCGACGGTGTTACGTTCACCGACTCCTTTGGATTCCGAAAAGACACTCCGTGTCCAGTCCCCTGGGGTTTTTCGCTTCGTTTCGTCCTCGTCTTCRCCCTCGTCGCCTGCATCCCCGCCTTCCCCATCGGTGGTCCCAAAACCCATCCATGGAACGGCCAGTTCCATGAAATCAAAGGACATCAGAACCGACAGCTGCCTGCCGCACGCGTCGTAGGCCTCCCGGACGACCTCCGACAGGGTGGATTCCATCCGGGGGCTGATGTGGTTSAGGACCAGCAGCTTGGCACCGCATTCCGCGGCTTTTCGGCCCRCCATGGAAGCGGTGGAGTGGCCCCGCGAGGGATCTTCCTCGACCAGGGTGGCCTCGTGGACCAGGACGTCCGCCTTTCTCGCAATCTCTGCCATCTGGGGGGTCCACCCGCGGTTGTCGCCGATGACCGCAATCTTGCGGGCCTTTTTCGTCGCGGCCTTCAGGACCTGGTGGGGTTCCACTTGGCGCTCCGAGCCGTCGTCGGAGGTCACGGCAAAGCCGTGCTTGAGGAGCTCGTACTTTTTGTTCTTGTGCGAGACCCCMAGGGCCCTGGCCTTCGCTACGTCCAGGTTGCGCGGGGGCTCGGCCTCCTCGACGACAAAGCCAAAGGTCGCGACCCCCGGCATGTGGTCGACCTCGGCCGCCCGGATCCGGACCCGCTCGTCGGAGCCCCGGGCTCCCCGGCTTCCCCTTCCGCGGTTGCTCGGCAACGCCAGGAGGTCCTCTCTCGTGGCGGGCCGGGCGTTGTCCTGGATKTCCCACACGCCGTTCCGGCACGGGATCTCGAACCGTCGGAGCCGCCCCCCGTTGTGCCGAAACTCGGGATAGTCGCTGTGGAAGGGATCGCGGGTGTGGTTGTTGTTGCGTTGCTGCCGTGACGAGCCCCGGGGCAGGTGCCTCCCGTCGCTGGGGGGAGGGGTCACCACCCTTCGGACGCGACCTCCCACCAGTTCGTAGACGTGCACATTCAAGAGGTGCAGCCTTGTGCAACTCAGCGTGATCGACGACGATATGTAATTGAACAACCCCGGTGGACCGTATATTTCGACGGTAAACTCCTCTTTGCCCCTGGCGCCCTGGCGCCTTCTTCCCCTCGCTTTGTTGGTTTTGCGGGCGCTGTCGTCTACCTGCATGAGCGAGGTCTGCATGCTCAGCAAAAACCCGGGGAGCCCAAAGATGTGATCTCCGTGCAAGTGGGAAATGAATATCTTGTCGATTTTCGACAGACTCGACGATCCCTTCGCGAACTGAAACTGCCGCTGGGTCCCCTCTCCCACGTCGAACATGAAGGTCGTCCGGGCCAGCCTCAGAAAGGTCCCGGACGTCGACCKGATGCTCGCAGGGCTCCCGGCACCGGTGCCYAGAAAGCAGAGACTCATTTCCGTGCGCARGCGCTGCTCGCTTCCGTCGGTCCAGTGGTCGATGCMTCCCTCGGTCTCGTCGCTTCCGTCCTCGCCCTCATCGATTTTGATGCAGGACCGCACGGATTCGATCACGGCAGTGTCGTCGGCGGGAAGAAGCACGGGTTTGTCGTCGACTCCCAGGAAGTAGCCAGGAGGCCTATAGATGCTCCCAACGGACGAAGATATTCTCGACGGATCGCGATGCAGGGGGTTCCGAAACGCCGGTTCTGTTTCCGTTGGTTCTTTGTTCGACGGCTCTAGTTTCGAAGAGAGATGGCGGCGRTGCTGGCGGCGGTGCGAAGCAGCATATTGCCTATTTTTCTCAAAAGGAGATCTTCTGTTCACACCAACAGGCATATAGGAAGTGGACAAGAAACGACAATATGGTGGAACTGACGCAGTCGCGGTCTCGGTCGTTGCAAATCTTCCAACCMCTTTTCTCTTCAGAAAATCAGAAAAGACGCCCGCCTCACGAGAAATACCGGAGATCCGACAACTTGTTCTTAGCCATCGCTGTTGCCTTGTTGTTACCATCGCCATCATCCTCGTTTCTACCTTGAAAGCAATCATGCATACAAAAACACTTCAGAACATCACCATTCTGCCTGATTTGATGATGGCCAGTAAATTTCGAAGATCGTTCTTCCAAATCTCTTACCGTACTTGTTTTGTCCTAGAAAGTGTGTCCGATTTGCAACTTGATGGCGGCAACAAATCAGCTCATTCATTGGGTTTTGTACTWATTTTACGGTGCGCAGATTTAGGTCCTTTATTTGTATCGCACAGTGATGTACTTTGCTTTGTGTACGAGGTACGTACTACCGTAAAGAGTACAGTACCGTACCATAGAGTTGGCAATTTCCACACAACGCTACTCGATTTTTTACCTAATTTACTTCCAAAATACTGGTGGTACGTACGTGTCGTTAAGATAAGATTCGAACCATCTTTCAGGTTTTTCACATACTCAGATTTCCCGACTTCTGAGGATRCGTGAGTGATTTCTTGCTTTTTTGGGCTTCAAATCCAATGATTTGTAAGTTGCTCTGTCGTCCGAGCCTAGAACCCTGCCAAGCCTGCTACTCGYTCTTGGTTGTGAGGACAAGGGTATTTTGATCAACACCGTTCGTTGCTCCCGTTCAGTGCAACGTGTCCAGCAAGTTTGGCTATTCGGTGCCGAGCGAAGAAACGATCGGCTTTCTCTCGCCAAGGAGGCAATGCGCTGATGGCCGGGAAGCCGGGCGATCGTGACGAATTTTCGGTCACTTATAGGARCAGGCTTCCGAAGCGTGGTAAACGGGACAAAAAATAGAGAACCGAYCATTTTGAGTGTGGSCCCGAAAATCCATAMAACTCCAATTGCTAAAACATTTTCGACAGAGTACAGTGGATGCTGGTCACGGGAATCAATATTTCGATTCGCAAAGAAGTGTTCGTTATGCAGTCAACGCAAAAAAAGACGGAATGTATGTCACATTTGGTACCGGCCACGCTGTGTGCCTGGCCAGAATGACACATTTGCAACTCGACGCAACGGGAGAACGTCAAAACACTGACGAAACGCATAATTTCCATTCGAAACCTTTGGCCGCCCTCATAGTAGCAGAGACAGCATTTCCCAAAACTGTATCACCAATGATCAATTCTAACATGGAAGACCACGGGACGGCAATACAAGAGCGGGGATTACCGGAAGACCTCCCCGCTGATGCAGCGATTGCGACGCCTACGGTCCCGGRGGCTTCCCGCGAGATATTGCAGGAAAGAGACGATCATCTCGAAATAGATCCTGTCGCCACAAGCGAAACCCATCAGCCCAATACGGAAATAGCTTCTTTGCCGAAAGAGAAGGATAMCATCGAGAAACAACAGAGCAGCGCATTTTCCAACATTGCAGAGAACACGGCTGTCGTCGAGCAACCGATGGAGGACATTGGTTCCCCAAAGAAAGAGAACCACGAGCTGGAGAATAATATCGGCATACCAATGACCAGAATTCAAGATATGAAAGCTCCCCCAAAAAATGCGAATGAGAACGTTACTTCCTTCCAGAGAGAAATACAGAAGCGGAAAGAAACTCTTGGCCACGCAAACAATAACGTTCGTGAAAAGAAAGCTGTCGCCAGGCAAGGAAATGAGGACATCGCTACCTTGCTCAGAGAGAACCAGAAGCTAAAGGAGACTATTAGCCAAGCAAAAAATAAAATTCGTGAAAAGAAAGATATCGCCAAGCAAGCGAATGACGACATCGCTACATTGCAGAAAGAGAACCAGGAGCTGAAGGATAAGCTTAGTTATGCGATAGAAAAATGTCTTGCAAAGAAAGCTCTCGCCAAGCAACTCGAGAAACACAGGACTTGGTTTTTAGAGAATGAAAAGGATACTGACTACAATGAAAAACTTCATTCACAACTCGCCAGTACAACCGCCAAACTAAGATTTTTGCTCCGGCAACATGGCCACACGGATAAGGGAGTCAAATGTGAGGAGAATGATGAAGAAGGGATTGTATGGGGAGCAGACCAAGTCACCTATAGTAAGCTCAAAGGAGAACTTGTCGAAGCCAAAAATCGAATTGCTGAGCTTTCAAAGTACAGAATACACCAAATCGACAGAGAAGAGGAAGCCACCATAGATGAAGCGACCTTCAGTCAATTCGAGACACAAGATTTGGAGGCAAAAAGTCACATATACGAGCTTTCTAAATGTAATTTAGACTTGAGTACAACCAATAAGAAACTTGAGGCAGAACTTATCGAGGCCAAAAACCGCATTGGCACACTTTCGGAATCCAATTTAGATGAAGCGACCTATGGAAATTCAGAGACAGAGCACTTAGAGCTAAAGAATCAAATTGAGAAGCTTTCTAAGTCAAATTCATATACTGCTAGAGAGCTTTCAAAAGCAAACTCCCTTATCGGTGAACTCAAAAAGCGCCTTTCAGCTGTACAGGGCGAAAATGTGGGGAAAAAAGAAATGGATCTGATGAGCGACGACGATGATGACGACGAATCGGTTGAAGACAATAATGATCCTTGGACAATCAAGTTCAAGCAGCTTTGCCAATACAGAGCAGATCATGGTGACTGTCTTGTGACTACGTCCAAAAAGCAGTACTCAAGCCTAGGACACTGGGTTAATAATCAAAGGAGAGCTTATCATCACCTCAAGATAAGAAAGAAAGGGTACAAGATGACAGTGGAAAAGATTGAAAAACTTGACAGTATTGGTTTCTCTTGGGTAAGCATGCCAAGTTGATTTTCTTTCATCAAAACAACTCCTTTCGATGCGTTTGCTCAAACACTCAACACTGTCCCACATTTTTGAACTCATGTACAACATCCATTATACTCTAATCAGGGAAGGAGATATGAAAACGGCCCGATACCCTCATTTCAGAAAAGTTTTTCAGAACTAAAAGACTACAAAGAAATTTTTGGGCATTGTAACGTTCCTCCTACCCAAGGATCTCTGGGTAGATTTGTTTCTCGAGCTCGTGCCGATTTCCGACGATACAAGAAAGCTCAGGGATCCCTTTTCACACTGGAAGAATTTAAACAATTGAAGAGCATTGGATTTTCATTCAAACGCCCGAAACCTGCTGGCAAGTAGGCAGCACCACCACCACATTTCCCACAACTAATGGAAGAAGGAGTTACCACATCAAATATGATATGATTTCGTATTGAAGGAACCTACAATATCCCTTGGTTGATGTGTTCTTATGGGTACCTGCAGCAACCAGCAGTGATACTATTACCAAAAATGAATAGTCTTTGGACAGTTAGTAGTAGCCACCATAAGTATAATAGTAGTAGTGAACATAAAATTCTTGTGCAAAAGAATCCCTTGGTGGTAAGGGATTCTTTTAAATCAATCATAGTACTACTAACCCTAATATTTATTTGAAACACAACCAAATGTGATACATACTAGAGTTCAAATGCTATCCTATTTTGAGCGGATGCAAACAAGATAATAGTATTAGAAGTAATTGTACTAGGAATGAACAACATAATATTGTACTTTTTGGCAAGGTACGAAGTAATACAGAACGGATTTGAGTCTTACGCGCAGGCCAGACATTAAGGCATCGACTCATCCGACCAGAGAACATTTCTACTGAGTCTTGGAATTACGTGGTATTCTGGTAAAACTTCAAAAATTCTGATTTGCGGAGCCAGCTGAGTTTACATATGATTGTATCGTTATGAGTACGAGAAGCAGCAAAAATGCGAACACCGGCGCAAGATGCAGTGGATTGTGCGGGGCGCTGCAAAAACACGTGCAGTGCATGTCCCGTTCTTTGCACAACACAATCCTACAGTTACCTGTACATCGTCGCCCTCCGTAACATTCATTTTCTTTTCTGTTCCAATTGAGCAACACCTTTCGTCATAACTGAACGGACTTTAAATTAGTTGCAATACTCCCCAAGTGTGCACTATTAGGAAAGAAAGCATACTTGCCTTCTCCTCACAGCATTCTGGCGAAGCATCTGGAGTTTTCGAGAATTTTACGAACGAAGTTCGCAAACTGGTATCTTCTAAGAATTAGAATTTACAGCAGGCTTTGTATCTACTGTAACTCATCATCGTCACCAACCCGACAATCAAAGAACCGAGAGGATAACCACGAAGAATTCGATAATGCGATCCTGCTGCTCAATCACCGAACGGACCACCCTTGCTGCTGTGCTTCTTTTGGCAATCAGTGGGGTGTCGAATGGCTTTGTCAACGGCCCGAATACGAACCCAAGATCACTGGCCTCAGAAACAATTGCGACAACACCGCCATTTGCTTACCAGAATTTACCGACGTTCAATGCGAACACCGCGCTTGCCACATCTTCGGATAGCGAGGATGTCTTGTACAGCTTTGGTGCCGAGGTCGTTCCGGAAGGCCAGCGCCCCGTAAACGAATACCTCGATATGAAACGGGCACCTCTCTTTGGATGGGGAAGCAACGAGGTTGGACTCCAGGGTTTGCTGATTCGTCTGGGGATATCCTACGCCGCAATCTTTGCGCTCGTGTAAGTTTTGCATGGTAGGATAGTTCTGGATTATTGGGTCGTCCTGCCCGATCGCCTGATACGTTTTTTGTGATGTAGACACTCATCAATGGATGGGCTCAGTGGTTAGTCATGGAATCCGGAGGTTTAGGTTGACTAGAGAGCACAGCAGGCTAGCAAGACGAAAAAGATTCTATCTTTCTGGCTCAATGGCTTGGTCCATTCCAATCACAAAGAGCAATGATTTCTCTAACCTGTTGATGCTTTTTTGTATTTTAAATAAATCGAACTATTTGAACGACGGATCTGATCCATCCAAACATACTGTGGCATAAAATGTAACGCGATGCCATTTTTATGGAATAAATAACAAAAATGCGATTTGAAACTCGTGCTCACYATCGTTGCCGAATCCGGTACTACTGTATACAACAAACAACAAACCACAGTTGCTATCCAATCGCCGGCGCCACCTTCACCCAGGATGGATACCTCCTACAAAAGATCGCAGCGGCCAACGTCGGAGCACTTGGATTTGAGATTGCGCTATTGGTGCGTATCTACAGTGGTTGGGGCTATGTTGGTTCCCGCCTCCAGTCCAAGGTCATCGAGTACGAGGAAACCGGGTGGTACGACGGGAACTTCGAACCCAAGACGGAGGCCGAGCTCAAACGAGATAAGTTCCTCTTCCAGTCCGACGTGCAACCCGCCGTCGACCGCCTCAAACTYGTTACACTGGGAGCAGCTGCGCTGTGGGTGGGGTCCTGTGTTGCTCTCAACGCGGCAAACAGCCTGAAGCCAAAATTCAACGAGTACGACCCACGCGTGCTCAAGATGGTCATGCAAGACGAGGACTTTGCCAATGCGGCCGCGAAGGCTGCTGGCAACCGGCCCACCTATTGCGACAATCGCTATTACCGGGCGGTTGCTAACGGGGGTCAGGGATGTTAAGTTCGTTATTTTTAGTTTGTACGCCATGAAATATTGCAAGCTTKTGATGTATTTCTTTACTACAGAATCTTTAGCCCAATGACTTTTCCTCGCTGGATAAAAAWCTACTTGACACACTAGCCCAACGAAACATGTTTTGGTCAATTTTCAAGAAATATTTGTCTAAGGATCTTAAGCCAATTCCATTCATTTTTCCTATTKCATGTGAAAGTTCTTATTGATATGAAAATGTAGATCGATCCGGCGCCTGCATTTACRCGCAATGATCAACAGAGTCATTTCGTACAGAAAACTATATTTGTCCTGTCAATAAACTCGAATTATAATTAATTTTTATGTCCAGACGCATTTTCAATTTAATTCATGTGAATTTAATTTTCGCGCTTTTTTCTTTTTTTCTCGAGAAGAGTGCTCGACCTGATGTGTGGGTTGGGGGGGGGGGGGGGAGTTGGTACTACAGGGAGCTTCTCGTGGTGTTGGAGTGATATTGTGTAAATGAAACATGCAGTGATCGCAATGATTTTTTTTCGGGGATTTTCTAGAAGATATTCTATTTTTTTGGGTTTTCGGGATAGATTTGCGTGGGGGATTGGTGGAAAGTTATGTTGACATTTGTTGGACAGAGGCAGATATTTCAGGATATGTATCAGTTGCCGCCTCTAGCGAAAGCAGCTTGATTTCGAGCTTTTGCGATTTGGGCTTGGCGCTTAGCTTCGTTCTGCTCGAATTTTTTTCGACAGTCTGAACAACACCAACCGAGAACGAAAAAAGATAAGTTASTTGAGAAATCGTTGTGACGTTGTGAACGAACACGAMAGAACAATWATAGTTGCACTTACCCATTTCGTGAACACTTGCCACGGCAAACTTCATGTTAAGGTCTTCAGCTCTCTTGAAAACGGGGTTTTCGAAAAAATAATCGGCATCTAGACTTTGCTCGGCCGACCATCGTTTCGCTGGATTCTCTTCCATGAGTTTTCCAATCAAGTCGACGGCGGCATCAGTCATCCATTTTGGATTCGGTAGATTTTCCCGTAGGACCTGGGGAAGCCGGCTGGGATAGATAGTGTCGTTTGGCTTAGGTGCGAAGTTTTTCCAAAGTCTGCACTTCGTCTTCAACTCRGGCCAATCTTGCGTGTTTGGGGTTCCGCACACTTTATAAATCAGTTCCAGTTGGTGGGCTTCGTTTCTTCCCTTGAGAAAGGCAGACCTTCGRAACATTTCGGCGACAATGCAGCCGACACTCCACATGTCAATCTTCGTGCTGTAATCAATCATACCCAGTAAGAGTTCGGGTGGTCGGTACCACAACGTGATGACCTTGTTAGTCAACCGCTTCATTTCTGGATTCCAGCTCCTGGCAAGACCCCAATCAGCAATTTTGAGTTCACCTTTTCGGTTGATCAAAAGATTCGATGCTTTGAGATCACGATGAATTACTTTATTTTTGTGCATGTAGTGGACTCCTTGGAGAAGTTGACGAGACCAAGAYTTTACGTGATCTTGAGTTAGCCGGATTTCGGGAGTTTCCAAAACACCWGTCAGGTCGTATTCGAGATACTCAAAGACCATAAAGACATTTTTCGGAAGCGACCCATTCGAACCGTGCTCTTCAGTTGGATTGTGTGATGAAGCGTAATTTCGATCAGAATCATTGTACACATCCAAAAGAAAGAGGCAACATKAGATGAAAAGTCCGAATACACGTGTTTTCATTGTGATAATGCAAACATACAACAAAATCGCAAGCCACTGCAAACGAATCCAATAGAGCTGTCTCGGTGACGCAAATGGGAGGTATGCTGGGCAAGGCACAAAATCCAAGAATTGTCCATGATACTGCTTTTTCAAGCATTTTCCTTTCGGCAGGTTGAACTACGGAGTCACTCGTGGGGCAAAATAGAGGACTTCGTGAAAAGAATATATCCCGCCGACCAACGATTCAGACCAAATACAATGATGTGGGCCTTCGTACGAAAGTGTGGTTGCAGAGTGCTACCTTCTACGTACCATTGGAGCAAACGATTTCCTTGAGAATGACCATGTTTTCATGCTTGAGTCCCTTGAGAAGTTTCACCTCGCGAAGTGCCGTAATGGGAAATCCATTTTCCTCTTGTTCTGTATTAATACGTTTGAGGGCTACAATYTCGTTCGAGACCTTGTCTCTTCCCACAAACACACTTCCGTAGGTTCCCTCGCCGACCTGGAATTTCTTTTCGAAGGCATCCACATCTCTCATGACGGCAGGTGCCCTAATAGAAACAGAGCTACGACTGGAGAGGCGCGGTTTCTTTTGGAGGGGAACATTTTGAACAGGATTTTTGGGCAGTGCAGAGGAAGAGATCACGTCGCGATCACGCTTGATTCCATTGGTGCTAGGGGAGTCCCCACTMACTCCTGGGGTCACTCTTGGGGGTGGAGGTGGGGGCGGTGACCGACCAGTTCTAGAGGAGGAAGAAGGAGGTGGCGGAGGTGGCTTTAGCGTTCTCTTCGGGGGTGGGGGAGGCGGGCGAGATTTTCTCGGTGGGATTGGGCGATTCTTGGGAGGCGGGGGTGGAGGAGGCCTGACCATTGTGTGTGCTGCCGTCATACTGATTTCTGGATCAAAAATAGTATCAACTTACAGCAAATGYGTAGGAAGTAAGAAGAGGATTGTCGCTTTCTTTCGAATAATTTATATTGGAATATCGTGTGCCCTTCGCTTCACCAAAAGCTACGCTTTGAATAATTTATATTTGTTTGATAAACGGAAAAAAGAACTCTCCCCCGAAAGGAGTGGTAAAAACCCTCCAAGTCTCTTCCCGTGCTTAGCTTTCAAAGTRATATTTTGTCTCGATCGTTCTACGTTTTATTTTGGTTGTTGCGTGTGATAGTTGTGGTCCATCAATTTGGTTGATATCGTAGTTCGTTTCGTTTTTCGTGTCCGAGATCGCCCGGAGAGAAAAAGAATCAATACAATACAATATGAGTGAGACAGTCCATACATGCCTTCATCACTTGTTTCGATTGGTATTGCTACGAACGAAGGYACAATGTAGTCTTCGAAACAGTCCAATGTCTCGAGATCCACTRTTGGCTGTGTAATGCACGATCTAACGGTTCACCACATATTCTACGAAGAAAACCAAGTAGAATTCAGTACTGAAGCGAAACAGACGCACGTTCGCGATGACGGTTTCATTGTTCCTCCGATACCTACAATTTATCTCTGAAAGAAAGGAAAAGGTCTCTCTTGTCCCACCTTGATAGTTGGGTAGTGAAGAGAAGGGAGGGAGGGTGTTGCTGAATGCGGGTTCTTTGGTTTCCAGCAGCGAGGTTAGCAAATCCTCTTGGAGCTGCGTTGCAAAGTTTGGGTTGTGTGTCTCCCGTGTGTCTGTCTCGCCTCGCAGAAACACCGTAGTCAAAAAACCGCAGTGCGTCCCATGGGCACGTTGCAGTGGAAGAGGAAGAACAGAAGAAACGTCGATCGAAATCGAATTCCATCCGTCGCCGTTACAGTACAAGTAATATCTAACCCCTCGTCCACGAAGAATTGATTGGATGGAAAGGGGGAGTAAACAATTGCCCAATGTTGCCAAAACTCGCGCGGTATTTGCGCGACGCACGAATGATGATGATCAGTAGTCATATTTNTTACGTGTTTCACGTGGTTGATACCATCAAAGTTTCAACCTCCACTGTTAGTTTTTCCTTATTGGATAAAAATTTGGAAAAATCCTTCACAACTCTGTATCGCTAGAGCATGTTTGCGGAACGAGCATTGTTTTTACACAAATTATCATGGTCAATGCTGAAAGCACGAAAAAACTAACCCCTCGCATGGAACTTACTCCCTTGTTTGAACTCTGCCCTTTGTCATGCCCCCCTTAAGCTAAAGGCATTCTGTCAAAACTGTCACAGCTCAAGAGATAGGGAAAACCACCACCAGCGTCCTGTATTTTACAGTGCCAAATGAGACAAGAAAAAGAAGTCGGGCTTCATTGTGTCAATGTAACTACTCACTCATCTTAGTCTCAGCAAAGATTGCTTCCGTCAGTATTATATTTATGTTGGTGACGGGACCCATTACTTTACTTTACTTTACTTTACTTTACTTTACTTTGCCATTGTTCAAAACTTTGAAGGATAACATTGGTATTAGCCAGCGCCGGTTTGCTTTAACTAGTAGTAATAGTACCCAAGACGGTCCATGTAGTGGCATGCCATAGAATCTTGATGACCAAGTTATGCATTCATAACCCTTTGGTGGAAGAAGTTGATTTTGTGTTGATAGAGTCTGCAATGGAATCCATTAATTCTGATCTTGACAATGATATTTTATATGAACCCACTCATCAGGTGGAGAGCTCCAACTCTGTTCTTGTCAATGTAGTAGTAGTAGTAATCAAAACACCCTTTGATAATCGATTGTTACCACCCTCAATGAAGGTCAAAATAAAGTTAATGAAGATCATGGTGAGAGACCACAATATCCTTAAAAGGGAGCTTTATCAATGGGCTATTGAATTGGATACTAGGTTGTCTGGTTTTACCTGAGTACTGGAAGCAGTTTGATCAAAACTTGCMAATCTGTTGTTTTAGATGAATGATACAAAGCAGTTCCTGAACTACCCTGCATCCGTTTTTTAATGGCAGCTTATTGAATGGCATTCTAGCAACAGAGTTGGCAATAAAGTAATCTATGTAAGGCCCTTTAGACTAGAATTGTGATCTCTTTTAACCAATGTTTCATATAATCAAAGAAGAAATTTTATCTTTCCCCAATGAAAACAACCCCACTTCACYGTGCTGAGTTCCCAAATTAACAGCTAACTCCCTTGTTTGCAAACTCCATCACAGGGAATGGTGGGTCAAAACTTGGAAAAAAGTGTGATCCAAATAAAGACAAAATGTTGGTTCCCATTATATTTTACATGGATGACATTGCTATCGTATAGGCTGGGCCACGCGTTTCCGGCCGAAAATATCGGACATTTTTGAATACGAATATACGTACATGAATATCGATCAATATTCAACGTACGCCGTTCTCCCCCACGCCATTAGAAAGCTCGTTGAATTCTCTTTTCAACCATGTGCTTATCATACTTAAGCGTCCGTTGGGCGAAAAGTTACAGCTGTTCGAGTGAGTTGAACCTCTCTTATTGCCCTACTTGTTTTTTGTACTGTGCGGGGATTTTCTGCCATCTTTTTACCGTGTAATGACTCGTGGGATTAAAATTTGACTTGTACTGCAGTTTACAGCAGGCACGTGCTGAATTTTTGTATCCCACATCCGTGCGACCAAATAGTTTCGCGCTTGCATGTGCACGCTGTAGCCCCGGTACGAGTCAAATTTTAATCCCACGAGTCGTTACACGGTAATTAGATAGCAAAAAATCCCCGATATTATCGTACCTCTGCTGGCCAACGCTATACGATACAGGCATGGAAACACAACCCTTTGTCCATTGAATATGACTCTTGGTATATTCAGTGATCTCACCCAATCCCCTAGACCTGAAGCTTGGAAGACTCTTTATTTTCACCCTCAAGGAAAAAGCAATGTGTCCATTGACAATGTAAACAATCTTCATAATGGTTGACGGGCAGCTCTGGCTATTTGTCCTTAGTATTATCTTTGATGATATTGTATTYTTTGTTGGAAGATTCATTTGATATCTTAGCACACCAGCATATTCCACCTAGCATTCCAAAAGCTGAAATTGGACTTCAAAGTACTTTATTGATTGGCACACAAAATGGGAATAGGTCCAATCATCATCCAGACAGATCCAATCAACATCCAGATAGAGAAGAAGATAAGACGTTTCAATTCTTACAATACTAGATTCATGATCTTCATTACAGACTTGTATGACAGTATTGATTGTAGGAATTCAATTACTGTACCTGGAGGATGGTGATCTTCTACTACTACTCCACCATGAAGTTATCACCACCAGTGTTCATTTTGTTCTGCAGAAAAYCAAGAAATTCAAAGAGAAGATATTGTTACAATTGGTGTTGTCGTAGAAGCTTGTTACTGTTGCTGCAGTAAAGGAGAAGAACAATTGAATCAAGTGTGGCTGGAAACATAGCAAGCTCTTGTTTGGTGGTGGTCAAAGTGTGTAGGATTAAATAAGCGTCTTGTTGTTGTTGCTGGTGGTGTCGTTGATTAAAGCACAAGAAGAATTAAAAAATGTTGAGGAGGATCTTGACTATAACTTTTGATTGACTTGTTGAAAAGTGACACAGGAACTAATACCACCAATAAGAAGAACAAAATAGTAGTACAAGTAGTAGAAATGAAAAATCCAGAATTAACTGCTCCGCCTGCTGCTGGACGGTGCTGCTCCTCAATGATGATCATGATGGAACCAAAATATTAGAATTCATGCTCTCAAAGTTCTTGATTGCAGCACAAACTGCTTCTTGAATACTAGTAGCATAAAACATAGTAAAGCACTTATATTGCACTAGTAGTACTAGTAGTATTACTTTGATAGTAGTGGTAGTATTTGTAGTACTAGTAGTTACTAGTACTAGTTGCCACTTCTACTACTTGAGAATAGGGGGCTTTCAGATGGCGTGCATTTAATGGCGCAGTCGTGATGGATTCCTTCTGAAAACAAAAATTTTCGGATGGTTCGCGATTGGGTTTCGAATCTTTTCGTCCTTTTGAGATGCAGAAAAGCATGGTGGTRTGATGCCGCATGACACTCCCCAGCAAAGATATTCACCGCACAGAACTGTTGYGATGGAAATACAATGCGAACCTGCTCCCAACGCAAACTACAGGATTCAAAAGATTGAACCGGAACCAACCAGAAGGATTTGATACAGTCGTCACACAGGAAGCTAGCATACTCGCAAGAAAGCAGTAGCAGGTCAGAGCAGTAGACAAACGCAAAAGAACTCAATCCGAAAAATGAATCCCGACACCAAAAATGCGAARACCGCATCAACCGGTAGTCAGCAACACCCGGTYGTGTTCGACACGATGATCGACGAACGACGCATCAGCCGCCAGAACACCGGAGATCGCCCGAACCAAAACCAGCAATACCTTATCCATTCCCTCAAACCGCCTCCGCCGGCATCTTGGGCCACGAACGTAAAGTCATTCCTGAATGCTCCTCGAAAACAGGAAAATGACGACGATGCCGTCTACTGGTGCGAGTAATGCAAACAAAGGCGCTCATCCAGCTTCCTACAACAAGTCTTTCCTACCAAAATAATCACCCATAAAGTATCCCGATTGACTGAAAACGCCAGCCACTGGGTTCCGCACGAAAAAACGGAACCATCGTCAATCATCGCGATCTTCGATCAATTAAATGTTGATCTAGCAGTCCCTTTGATGAAGGCATTTGTTGGATACGACGCAAATAAACACTATACTTTGAGTTTTCGAACTAGTAGTATCTTTTTTCACCTGATTGTATATGATGACTTGAACCCGCAGGCTAGTCCAGTCCATACTTTATAATGTTTAACATCGGAGAGAATCATGTTTGTTCCTCGTTAGATAATTTTACAGTGGATCCTTTAATAGTTCACTAATTTGCCAATATAGAAGACGAGTAATCGCGACCGCGACTGTGCTACTATCTCGGTTTCCCTGTGCTACAGCGAGCGAAACAAAAGATTTTACAAACCATCAATAGCCTTGGTTTTTTTTTTCGAGCATTTTTAGTCTCCCAATCCATCGGAAAGGAAGTGCCTTTGCAGCATCGTCGCAGTTCAAGTTTGCTTTTGTACCGCACTCGATGCCATATTCCGAAACCAAGTGTAGACTTTGTCCTCGATGCGATGTTTCCTCTAATCGCCTCTCCCCGACGCCGATCGAAGCTCGGCGTCCATCCGCCCGGTGTTTGCTACGACATTTCTTCGTCTGCTATTTCTTCCACGGGAAGCCTGGCGATGATCTTTTGGCAGAACCCCTCTAGGGCCTTGGCTGCCAGGCTGTCGGGACGCTCCTCGACAAAGGCCTTCCCGTGCTCACAGGCCTGCAGGAGGTCCGGGTCCATCGGGAGCAATCCCCAGTACGGGACGCCGTAGCGGTCGGCCATTTCTCTCGGGCCGCCCCCGCTGGCCGGGTAGAGCGTGGACGACACCGACAGGGTCGATCCGTCCTCGAAGAGCTCGGGGCAGTGTGTGCGGAGGGTATCGAGCACCTTTTGGGTGCAGTCTTCTTTGTCGCCGGTGGTGCCCCCGTCCCCCGTCGCCCTCGTTGCGGAGCAAGCAAAGGCAAGCCGGTCCAGTGTCGTGGTATACTCCCCCATGTTTTCGACTACCCCCATCACCGGAACCTTGGTCTTTTGACAAAAATTGAGTTCCTTGCGCACGTCGGCCATGCAGACTTCCTCGGGCGTTGTCACCAGGACCGCTCCAGAGACAGCACCGGCCTTTTGGAGGTACTGGACCGTCGAGATGTGCTCGTCGGAGGTCCCCGGCGGCGTGTCGACGATCAGATAGTCGAGGCCGTCCGTTTCGCCCGTCCAGTCGACCTGCGTCAGGAACTGCTGGATCAAACCGTTCTTCCGCGGGCCTCTCCACACCACCGCCTGGTCCCGGTTTTCGTCCGGCAGCAGGAAGGAAATCGAGACGCAGCAGAGGTTGGGCTTGTCGGGGTTGTAGACCGGGATCCACCCCCCGGAGGCGGACTGGGCGATCTGCGCCGTCAGGTGCGCGTCGCCCAGTATCATTCGGGGCGCCGAGGGCCCGCAGAGGTCCACGTCCAGGAGTCCCACGGCGTAGCCCATGCTCGCCAGGGTGTGCGCCAGCTGGCAGCTGACGGTCGATTTTCCGACGCCGCCCTTTCCGCTCAGGACCAGCACCGTGTGCGAGACGTTCTCCAGGGACGTCTGCAGCTTGGTGGCCTCTTCCCTGGACCGTGCGATCGCCTCGGGGCTGTTGAAGGCCCCGCTCCCGCAGGCTTTCTGGTTCGGGCAGCCGTCGCACGCCGAGGCCCTSCCGGCATTTTCGGACGACGGACCGACGCACTCCGCGTTGGCGTTGTCGGGGGTGGGCACCGCTGTTTCGCTGCTGCTCATGGTTCCGATGGGTGTTGTTCCGTGGTGGCTGGTTGTGCTGCGGCCGCGCTCGGCTGTTAATAGTTGTAGCTGTTGTTGCTGCTTCTGCTGTTTCTGCTGTTTCTCGAGGAGAGAGAAAAGAGACAAGGATTGTGTCGTATTTTACAAACGAACTGCACAGATGTCGCGGTACCGGTATAGTGGCGGTGATTGCTCTGTTCAGTCGTGCATTGCATTTGGTCCGTCCATCGCACGTTAGGATTCACACTCTTGGTCGGTGAGATGTCTTACCGATTCTTCTTCTAGTAGTAGCTAGGCAACGCCAAGAAGGAAGGAATGTCGCATTAGCTTCGGAACACAACAGTATTCTTTTACACTATTAAAAGTCTCTACCAGTAGTTGTATCACAAGGTGGAAATGAAATGCATCGTGCGCTTGGGAATACAKCGAAAATCAGACGGAACTATAATTTGTCTCTAGATTTTGACATTCCAAACGACCCTATAACCTAWGGTGATCATTTCCGAAGAAACGTTGTGATWAAAATTGAGACCGCGTCCCCCCTRCGGATCTGTCGATCGATGSAGCTAGAGGTTCGTCCATCTGACCATACTCCTTGCTCAGCCATAATTTTCTCCCCCYGTCCAATGTACCTCTCTCCCGCATCCTTCGTTTTCAAAACTACTTTCTTATCGCATAATCACCTTCGGATAGTTTTTGAACAAGAATTTCTTTTGAACTATGCCAATAATCTGGTAGGATTCGATTTGTTTCGGKGTGACACCTTCCTTGTACTTTTTCTCCATGAGACAAAAGGGATCGTCGAGTTTTTTTACCTCCCCCGTGAGTTGGTGGTTCCCCAGTATCATTACCGGTGTCTGTAAAAAGGAGTGATTCGACAAGCATTGACATAACAGATGCGAACAAMGTGAGAACGGCCGCCTCGATGGATTTTCCGACACAGGCGAAAAAAATCACCGACCCGCCGCTCGGGCATGCTGTGCTACTACGTTCCGTGCTACCGTGCCGACACAAAACAAAACCTACTCGCCTTTTCGGGACCCTTCATGTACAGCTTTCCCAACTCGACACGATGGTCRGTCCCGAATATTTCCCGGCAAGAATCCCCCGGTGGGAATTCCACCGGAGCGATCAGATTCCCGTTCAGTTCGATCATGGCGTACTCCGGTGGGAGACCGACCCCGCTGTCGCCGCCGCCGGTGTCGCCGGAATCGTTCTTGTATGCAAGGACCGGGATTTCTTTGGACGGTTCGGGCGCGGAATACGGCACTTCRCTGCCGCTGGTTCCCGCCATTTTGATCTGCTCTGCGCCTAGCGGTGTTATAATGTAATGTTGCCGATGCTCTTCCTTTTCTCTGGAGCACCGATCGAATGACAGTTACGATACGAGTACCTGTACGAGTACAACTGGACCGAACCGTACGGCGCAATGATGCGGGCAATTTTGATTCGTGTCGTGTAGTTTTTGTCGCATGCCGTTTTCGCACTGCAGCACCGCTGGGTACGGTACCATACGGTGCGTACGGTACTAATGCCCGTTAATCTAGACGATATACTTTTGATAGATTGATAGACAGACAGACAGAGAGACCAAAAATACAGGTTTATACTACTAGTACTACTAGCAGTAATAGATAATAGACATTTTTTTATTGTTTATCAAGGGTCAATTCACCCTTGCTAAACAATCTATCTCTAGACTGGACAGTACGGGACCTCTGGTACCTGCTCACATGTTTATCCATCAGTTTCAGTATTTTTTAAAGGATTCTCTACTAGAACTAAAAAAAATCTAAAATATCAAAAAGCAGATTGTCTATATCAATGGGAATGGCCCATTTAGTACGGTTGTTCGAATCTGTTAGTTAGAAGTGGCTTTCTTTCCTCCTCTGCAAGAAACTACATGGGGTATCTTCTTTCTGAACAAAAAGGCATCATGGATATATTCTACACTGGATCATGGAGGACATGGTTTCGATCTTTCTCATTGGATGATGAGACAGGATAGATATATACCAGGAACAATTTCATTTAGCAACTGACAGATAGGAAAGGGCTTTCAGATCAATTTGATTGACAAGAGTTCTAGGTTAGATGTTTGACTAAAGAGAGCTGGGTGTTTGAAATGGTGTAACGAGAACAATAATCTGAATCCAAGTATGGTGTAATTCCACTGCCTGAACCTGAAAAATTAGGAAGACAATTGATTCTTTGCGTGAGTTGCAATGCAGGAGAGGTGATGAACTTCACGAAAGAAAGAACAACGATCTGCCTTTTGGTTGGTTCAATCCTCGGCACGGCAGGACAGGCAACATTTCTGCTACCCATACACCGATGCTATGGTCATAATCTAACATGTGCTTTTTCAGTGTGGTGCATGACAAGTGGGTCTTCCTTGGATTGAATTCAATAGTATGGCGGGCAGAAAGTAAAACAAAACAAGTCCCTTTCGATACCAAAACTTACAGAGTATGTTTATTTTTCATGTACAAACCATCTTTCGACGGTCTAGCACCAACGGGGATTCTGGCATTCATTCATGCTATAAAGCCAAAAGAAACGCAACGTAGAGACACGAACGTGAGGGTTTCTACAAGACTTGTTCTGGCACGTGGGAAACTACGGAGCGAAACAATCAAAATCCTCGGCACGGCAGCACGAGCAACATTGCTGCTACCCATCTACCGATGCTATGGTCATAATCTAACAAGTACTTTTTCAGTGTGGTGCATGACAAGTGGGTCCTCCCTGGAACGATTGGTTCATTTTTTGTGTGTGAAAAGCACATTTTTTAGACATTCGACATTTCTCAACTCACCACTATTTTTGTCGTCAACCATGTCGCTATCGTTGCGAAAGTCTTGGTTGCTCCTTTTCTGTTTGCAGTTGTTGAAGAAAGTGAAAGTAGCACCACATTGGRGACTCGAAATTCATGTCGTACCAATAATTTATTCCGATGGTTTCGCAAGTTTGGGTAACTCGGTGGAACCATAGGGATGGCAAATACAAGAGCTCCCCTGTTTGCACCCGTACGGTAATGGGATGGGCGTATCGTGACATGGGGAATTCTTCGTCTCGATGGATTCGATTGGGATCGGAATCGGAACCAACCTTGCCGAATAGATCGGTTGCAATCCAATGCACTTTTGAATAACTGTTTGAATTTGCAGCCTCTGCCTCTTTATCGAGAACGACGGACCATTTTCTCTTTGGCTCTTCTATCTCCTCGTTGCCTTCCACTGTGGAAGCTTCGGAGGAACGGAACCGTCCCGCGAGGACTTCTTGTTCGTACAGAAAGGGGGCGTCGGAAGGAGGACAGAGACCAAAGACCTTTTCTCCACTTAAGACGTAGAACAGGTTTTCATAGTGATCTTTGTGCATCGCCGAGACCGCTCGTTCGTCCCCCATCCACAAATTGACCGCATCTGGTCCACGAGGTTTGTTTCCGAAGAAAGCTTCCTCGGCCCAAGGAAAGGACCTGGGAAATAAGTACGCAGCGGTGTGATCGCCATCGGTATCTGCTGTTGCATTGGATGGGGCTTTTAGATTCCAGAGTGGAGAAAGTTCTTCTCGTAAGCAATCGTTTTGCCGCGAGTAGTATAAGACACAGTCGTCCCAAAAGTCTTCCTCGGAATCGTCGCCACCTCCTTCGTCGAAAGTTTCCTCTGATCCCGGAGAACTCAGAAAGATCCGGTCGAGGGTTCTCTGGCTGTCGACATCTTGTTGCTGCTGCTTGCATCTTCCCCGTCTTAAACGATTGCTAAAACTAGAGATGGTCATTTTTCGCTCCATGGGCTTGACAAAGACTTTTTCTTCTTGAGTCGTTTCGTTGTCGATGGCAACCTTTCTCAAACAATCACCGTGCCCATCGGGGGTGACATCAACACACAATAATGGCAACGAGATTCCTCCATCACAGTCGTTACCATTGCCATCTTCATTGGCACGAATTAGCCCGGTCAGATCATCTAGAGTCAATTGCAATGGAATAGCCTCGTTCGCATGGGCACAAGTATTATCTCCATGGGCAGTGGCGTCTTCATGCGTTCTTGGTCTTGTTGTAATGGCGTTGCGAATGATACAAGGCCGGCTAACGGCCACATGATTGCGCAAAAAGTCCATTGCCGAGGGCGGTGTTTCGTAAACAGGAATATCGGAAGGGCACCAGAGATACCGCACATCGTCTTGGAAGGATTCAAGCGTTTCGCTCGTGGCTACCAACAGCGGTTGGTCGCCATCAAGACAGTTATTCCGAAGCGATGTCATTCGAGACGACATTGAAACTCTTAGCTTGAAATACCCGACGTTTTCTCGGTGGGGTTGGGCAACGAGATGGATTTCCCCCCTCCGGTTTGTGTCGAAGCCATGCCGTCAGTATGGAGTGACAAATGCTTTCAGAGCAACGCTCTATTCGAAAAGACTTACTTTAAAATACCTTCATTTCTCCTCGAGTTACAGATCTCATTCCATCCTGCATCATTCTAGTATCAATGCTTATGAGAGTGATTGTTTCTGGTTGGCGCATGAGGATCACTTTTGTCACGTCGGATTCGTCGTTCAACTTCTTCGTTTTCTCTTTAGACTATTTGTGGTTGATGGGTCTGTTGACATGCGGTGTCTGTCAATCGTCAGATCTAACATATGTATCGTAGAGTACGAATCACGGTACAGCACGATACTTCGTCCATTTCGGAAGTGGTTTACAGAACCAGTCGATTCAGTCGTAAATGGTTCAATTACAATTTGTACAGAACGTTCGTACCGGTACGTACCATACGGTGCTTGTACTCATGAGCTTCACAAAATGGGGCTTGAAAATAATGAGGGAGGCCTCAGCAATAGTAAAACCGAACGCTTTGTTGCAAACGTTAAAATTGAGGTCCTTCAGTAGACTTTCTACGTTAGCACATGCACGATTTAATTATTTTTTGGATCTTCGGTCGCGCTGCTCACACGCGCTGCTGCTCCATGGGAGTTCTTCGTTCTTTCTTGACACTAACTGGTACGAGTTGTACGATGCAGGACGGTACGAGTACGAGAACCAGCATGTCTCGGTCTCCCAAGATAAAGAATCAATAACGAAAAGCAACATCGAGGGATGCAAAAAAGATAAGGCAGCTCACTGATACAGATACAACCCTTGTTTTTGACGACATCCACAACAACCAAAAGCAAATTATCGATAAAATAAAAGAGACGATACAAAAATGTGCATTCCTTGTTGTTTCACCATCAGCACGTCCGAGGTTGGCGTTATTGAACAGTGGGGAAAGTTTAAACGATTGGCCAATCCCGGCTTGGGATTCATCCTCTGTCCCATGGAACAACTGGTTGGACGATTGAGTTTTCGTGTGCAGCAAATCGATGTTCGTGTCGAAACAAAGACTTTAGACAATGTCTTTTTAACTGCGGTTGTCTCTGTTCAGGTATGTATCGTTCTATTGACGGATACTCAAACCAAAGTCCTCCACTGCGAGGGAATCTCCCACCCAATTCACGACTCATTTTGCTCGGAACATTTTGGTGTCTCTCTTTCTTTTTGTCGTTCGTTGGTGATTTGTTGCTTCATACCCGAATTAATAGTATCAAGTGTTGAGAGAAAACGTCTTTGAAGCCTTCTATGCTTTGACGAATCCGGCGCAGCAAATTACGTAAGTTTTTGGTTTTCGACAGCTTCGCATCCCTGAAGGAATCTCGCTTGAAGATCGGTTCGTTCTCGTTCGTGTCTTACTCATGGTGCAAACTTTCTAAATCTTGACGGAACCTTTTTGGACTATTCCTTTGTTCAACAATTTCAGGGCCCACGTCTACGACGTCATGAGAGCCACCCTCCCAACACTCGAGCTCGACGCTGCTTTCGAAGCCAAAGAAGAATTGGCCACCTCCGTGAAGAACGCCCTGTCGGAATCATTTACCTCGTACGGGTATCAAATTCTCCAAACTCTCATCACCGATCTCGACCCCGATCAGCGCGTCAAGAACGCTATGAACGAGATCAAYTCCTCCAAGCGTCTCAAGTTTGCCGTCGCTGAAAGGGCAGAGGGAGACAAGATCCTGCAGGTCAAGTCGGCCGAGGCCGGTGCCGAAGCCCTATACCTGAGCGGTGTGGGTGTCTCTCGACAGCGCAAGGCCATTGTCGATGGGTTGCGAGCGAGCATCGTTGAGTTTTCTGGCAAGACTTCCGCCSAACCCAAAGACGTTATGGATTTGCTGTTGCTGACGCAATACTTTGACATGGTTCGTGACGTTGGAAGTGCCAAACACTGCCGCACAACCTTCGTTCCTGGCAGCAAAACATCCGCTGACCAGATGCGCGCGTCCCTTTTGCAGGTTGATGCAGCAACTTCAAAATAAATTGCGTAGGAACTGTTTCATAGGAGCCGGTTCGAGGCGAACATAGCAATCCTGTTTTTCGCTATACATTGAATTTTGGTTGATGGAAGGAACAAGGAACATTTATAGGATCTCTGTTTGGCTTTTAAACATCAAAATGCTACTGACTAGCCACTTGTTCGATCCAAACGAAGTCAACCGGATGCAAAGTACAGTGTGGTGTAGTACTGAATGTAGAGATGTTCTCACAATCTAAATCTTCCACTGTAAATATTTGTTTGATGCATTGGAGATCATATTTTTTTCACAGGAACGAGAGTGRTGTATTTTTCCGGCATTGTACTTTTACCGGTGTTCTGTTGCTGTTTCCAAATAAAGATAAGATAAATTTGACTGATTCCAGCTCCCTGTGATACAGTATGATGATTGCCACGTGGTGTCGTTTGTTGTTATCCTAAGTGAATATAGTCGTCTGTAACTTCTAATTGATATGACCTTTATACGTACAATCCATTCTTTAAGCAATCAACTTTTCATAGTAGACCAATTCCTTTCCTCATTAGCCGTGCTCTGCTACAATTGCAAAACCAGATGCAACTTTACATTTACTGAGCGATTAGACGAGAGCAAAAATAATTTCATTGCGTCTATAGGAAAGAAAGAGAAGCCTTAGTTGCGCTATGGCAAATCGCCATCACTCTTCCTCATCGCTTGAGCTGCTGTTGTCTTCGCTGTTGTCGTCCTCAGATTCCGATGAGCTGCTATCACCGACTGTCATGACCGCATCGCTGTCGTCGTCGACATCACTTTCTTCATCGTCACTATTCTGAACGGTATTTGCTTTGCCACCCACTATGTCTTTGCCACCCATCTGGATGCGACCATCGATGTATTTCGGTGGCAAAACCGGCTTGCTCTTGGCCTCCCAAAGAGCAAATTCTGCTTCGATGTCGGTATCCTTTGCATCCATCGAGGTGCCTAGWATCGGATCCAGAGATGACATGTTCGCGAGGACAAAATCAAGGAGATATGAACTGGTGTGCAAACGATCGACTCGCTCGAAGTGTCGCTCTGCGTAGGGAGTCATGCCCGCCATTATTTCTGGGATGTTACCGTGCTTTGTGTCCATAGCTTCTTTCGATGTGAGTCGGTCCACGGTTACTGTAGTGACGATAGCTTGAAGTACCCACATTGCCAACGACGAATTCCGCGCACGGGTGTTCCATTCCCGGCAGTATTTCAAGACCTGGCCAATTCGATCCAGGTCCCACTTGGCGACGTGCTTCTGTAATATCGTGACGGGCCGTTTCCCTTCCTTGCGCTTCGAGGAAGAAATTTCGTTCTCGAGCAGCGCCGTCAAAATTTTCAGTGTTTGCCTCGGTTTATCGACCTGCAATGCAATATCCAGGGCTTTGTCGTATTCCTTGTGGCGCAAGTGATTGACCATTTTTTGGTCCAACAGAATTCGTTCTGCTTCCTGAGCTCGTTCTTCGTCCTCTATTTGTGCCGTGGTGTCTTCCCATACTAGGAGCTTCGAGTCGGCGGCACCGCTCACCACAAAATCTCCATCGCTGCCGTTTGCAAGGTCCATGGCCCATACCTTGTTCGAATGCGCGTCCAGAGTTGTCTCGCATTCGTTTGTGCGGATCGTCCAAAGCTTGATCAGCCCGTCGGCCCCCGAGGAAACCAGTTGCAAACCGGTCGATAGGAATCGAACCCTCAAGACGCTCGACAAATGCCCCTGGAAGGTTCTAACGCAAGAATAATCCGACAGGGACCAGAGTTTGATCGTCTTGTCACCACTGCTCGTGGCCAACACACGATCTATCGGTGAGAACTGACAGTCCCACACACCTCTTCTGTGACCTTTCAGAGTGGCTTTCAGTGCTAAATCCGTGGCGTTCCAAAGCTTTACCGTTTTGTCTTGGGAACCAGATGCCACGACGGAGTCGTTTGGAGCAATAGATATTATGTTGATGTCTTTGTCGTGGCCCCGAACACTGAATGCAGCTTCTAGTTCCGTAGGAGCGTCGTCGTCCCAGTCGTCTGGGCCCGGTAGATTCCATCGTTTTAGCGTCTTGTCGACACTGGCGGTCACGCAAAAGGCTCCACCTCCGTTGCGAGCAGCCTTTCCACCAACTTCGTATCGGCCGACTTTTTGCGACATCCCACATGCTCCAATAGGCTCCATGTGTCCCTCCGCGATACCCACGCACTGGTGCGTATCGGTAGCCCACAGGCGAAGTGTCTTGTCTTTTCCAGCGCTTGCAAGGTATCTTCCACATGGGCTTGCGTCCACACAGAGAACGGTTGCGGAATGACCATCGAGGACCGAGCAAGAAAAGTTTTCTAGATCAAAGACCCGGACCTGTGGGCTGTTGGTGGCTACAACGATGGAATTTGAGGAACGACTCTGAGAGGGAATGGTTTTCAAATCCAATATTTCATCGTTGTGTCCCACTATTGTACGATTTAGCGAAAGCGCGTGATCCACAAAGGACAGATTGTGCTCGGCATCGACAGCAATCAAGAGCTCATCTGTAGTTCCATTAGCCACCGTGGTGTGATTGAGAACCAATCCCATGTAACCTCCCCGATCTTGTCCAAAAGACTGAGATGCTGGTTGCTGTAGCGTCTGGACAAGCTCGGGAGTTTGACCCTGAACGACTTCCGCTTTCCAGCGTCGAAGAGACCCTTTGCTACCGGCTATAATGATTCGGATTTCGTTCTCACCGGAAAAATCGGGAGACAAAACGACCATGCCCTCTATTTGCTCGTACACCGGGATGGTTTGGATGCGTCGGTAGGTCACTCGATCTTTGGGTGGACCCGCAGTCGCAGTTTTGTTCTTGTTCTTGCGCTTGTTCTTTTTCTTTTGCCTCGCATTACCTCCTTCCCCGGCCTCGGCCGGCACGATAACTATTCTCCATAAATTCAAAATGGCATCGCGACCCGTGGTCACAAAGAATTCGTCTCCCCACCAGTCCATGCACGTGACCGCACTGAGATGATCCCGCAGAACCACAACGCGATCCAGGTCCGTCATGGGATCTCGCAAATCGTGGATCGAGATGCTTCCATCTTCCCGTCCGATTGCTACGATCAACTTTTCTGTCCCCGGCATCCACTTGATGGACGATACCCCCGACCGGCCCCCGCCCAGTGCTTCTCCGGAACTTCCGCCCGTCAGTGGCCGAAAGACGTGCGTTACGTATCGTCCCCGGGTGTCCCAGATTCTCACTGTCCCGTCTATGGACCCCGTGGCCAGAAATATATCGGAATCGTGGTAGGCCATTACCGATAMGGGCAAGGTATGCCCCGACCTACCCCAGGTGTGCACGAGCTGTGTTTTTGTCGTCATCTTTTTGTCATCGTCGTCGTCCGCTTCGTCGATCTCGTCCATTTCGTTCAGTTCTTTCTCTTCTATAGCTCGCACCACGGAATATTGACGCAGAAGGTTGTTGCGGGAGCACGTCACGATGAATCGGTTTCCGTGGTCCAGCGCGTACGCCATGATGCTGTCTTGGTCTACGCCGTCTTCCTCGTCGTCATCGTCGCCTTCTCCTCCGGTGTATCCGCCCTCGGCGTCGGCCCCGCTTCCGCCCCGCACCGTTCCAAGCTTTATTCCTTTCGTGGCGTCCACAAGGGCGACGTCGCCGTGCACCGGCAGCAACAAGAAGGGATTCTCGTTCATTTTTTGGATCTCGTCGGGGTCGTCGTTGCTTGATTTCTGAGCCGTGTTGTGGTACGAATGGGTCACCTTTCCGCCGGTAAAGGTTGGCACGTGGGCAGACGCCACCGTCCAGGATTTGGAAAGAATTCCCATCACGTTCTTGTTGCCGCCATTGCTCTCATCTTGTGATTGTGGTTCCGCGGCATCTTCCATGGCGGCATCGTCGTCGTAATCCGCGGGATCGTCGACAACCTGGACGAATTTTACTTTGCTCATATCGATCGCCATGATGGAGGATTTTACTTTTCTTCCTTTCTTTCAACCCAAAACCGGTGACCCTGGCTACAATCGAGTGTGGTGCTCGGTAAATTAAAACTAATTGGACCGTGCGGTACTTGAAAAGCAGCTACTTGGTCTGCAAAGAAAGCGATTTTTTGGCTACCGGTACGATACTAATAGATGATGATCGGGATGGTGTCTTCAAATTGCAAAACCTGATGTCCGGATGAAGAGTTTTCACATGCTCTAACGCGTATTTTCGGTGGTCGACAGTAAGTCACGAAAAAAGATGATTCGACTCCCACGAACGAAAAAACAGGTTTGGTGTTTTGTTTTTCAAAGCTCGTAGTAGTACGGTACTAACATATGTATCATACGTTTAAATACGTAAAGTAATACTCTAAGTAATTGGGTGATTCCCGTTATTCTAGAATCTCTAGATTTGATAGACAGACAGACCAAAAATTTAGTGAAAATGACTCTAGAGTTAGYGCATTTTGAACTGCTGGTCAAACTGACCCATCCTACTAAATACTCTAAATTTAGAGAGGAATCTATGAATAAAATTTCGAGTCCGTTGAAGGACTCTCAGAAGACTCAGCAACAGAAAGAAGGCCCGCCAAAATTAAGACTTATTTCAAGAAAATTAAGACTCTGTTGTTGTAAATACTATTAAGAAGAGCAAGCAACAACCAGGCGCCATTCACCATGGCGCCGCCTCTGCAAAAGCGCCTGCACCATAAAAAACAATGTCCCCACCAGCCGATTTACTAGTTGCTATATACTACTATTACCTCCTCTCTCTGAATTACCAAAGAGAGCAAGGAGAGGAGGACAAGGCCGGCCATTGTCCCCCCATTCCCCACAATATTTTCCTTCTTAGTACGATGGTGGGTCAGAACACCGGCAATGTTGTTGCAAACAACGGCAGCGCCAACAACAATGGCAATGCCAACAATGGCCGTAGAGCCGGTACAGTACCCAAAACGGCAACGACAATGCTTACCAGCCAGCTGACACTATGAAAGGTCCTCGTAACGGGGAATCCCATGGTGAAAAAGACTAACGCCATTGTTGATACTCGTAAACAGTAATACTAATTAAACACTAATTCAACACTGGATCCAAATGAAGATAATGAACTTATCAGCAGCAGTACTGTGCAAGTCTATTGCTGATATATCTCGTTGCAGCAGTAAGTGATAGTACTGGTTGTACTTCTTCCGTCGCTCTTTTCTTGGATGGGTTTTTGTGCATACCCTGTATCGGTTTTTGTGTACACCAATGTGGGATTAGAACTGTTTCGCATGTGGGAAATTCCCACGAAAAGTGGGTATTCCCACAAAAACGGACAAAAATCGGCATGCACATRCAGTCCGGATCGGCTTGCACACGGCTTGTATCATTCAGTTATCTACGTTGCAGTATAATAGGAAACTTGTATTTGTGACAGTATAACTCAATATATAGTCCAGCATTKGAGTGTATTAGGGAACAGCATTGGAGTGTATTAGGGAACACGGCAGCAGGCCCAGGGAAAGTATCGTATAGCGTGGGCCACGCGTTTCCGGCCGAAAATATCGGACATTTTTGAATACGGATATACGTACATGAATATCGATCAATATTCRACGTACGCTGTTCTCCCCCACGCCATTAGAAAGCTCTTTCAATTCTCTTTTCAACCATGTGCTTATCATTGTTAAKCGTCAGTTGGGGACCAAATTATAGCTGTTAGAGTGAGTTGTACCCTAGTTAACCCTCTACGTGTATTTTGTACTGTGCGGGGATTTTCTGCTATCTTTTTATCGTGTAATGACTACTTTGACTCAACCCCCCAACGGACAAGCTCACTAAATTTGGCCACTAATCGTGTAAACTCAAATTTGGCAATACCCCTCCTTGATACATTTTCTCTGTTTCCGGTTTATCAGAAGGAACAGTGCCGGATGCATTTCCCCGTGCTTTTAACACAATGTGTCGATCCCATTTCTTTCTCTTAAAATYGATCGAGAACAAAACACACTGTGACTGAGACTACCCCTGCCAAGTATGGAGGATACTGCAAAAAGCAAGCAAARGCAGCATAATAAGCAAAATAACAAGCAAAAGAAGCAAGATGAGCAACCGACACTAAAAACACCAGACTTCCTTGTGGAAGACCTCCATAAGGATGTATATCGATACGCCGAGAGCTCTCCAGACTCAGTCCCTCCACGTCGGACCGGAGCAGTCTTGTTTGGTTGTCTTCATCCAAAGCAAAGARTGAAGTTAAAAAAGAGGAGAGCAAAAACAACTCCCCCTGAAATAATCGACGATCCCTCACCACGGGTCCAATTCGTATTGAATCAAGACTGGAAGTGGGTGGAGGATTGGGAATGGGACCAGAAGCCAACACCATACAACAAAGAGCTGAATGAGACCTGTGCTGGCTGTTTAAAGAAGACATGCTTGAAGAAGAAAGATCTTGCAAAGGCAATAGAGCTTGCTAGATTCGCGAAGCCAATGTTGCCTCCGACAATGAGTGTTGGCGATAAGCATGAATGGTTCTTTGAGATCTACAGGACAGTCACGAAGAGGGAAAAGAATGAAAAGAATGAAACTCCCTGTATTCAGTGTGCAAAAGAATTTTGCTTTGATGAGTGGGGACACCCTAGTATGTATGATGGAAGAAGCTTATCCTTTGATTCAGCTGACTACGAGGAGATGAATCATACCAAGGAGCAGGAGGGGGAGGATCGTGAGAACCAGCAACCAAATAAGCAACAACTGAATGAGTTTACTATTCATATTTAAGAAGTTTGCTGATACGGTGGAGGAGTTTGCCGATACGGAGGAGTTTGCTGATGCGTACACTAATAGGAAGGGAGCAACCGAATGAGCTGCTCATACGGAGGAGTTTGCTGATACAGTGGAGGAGTTTGCTGATACGGTGGAGGAGTTTGCTGATACAGAGGAGTTTGCTCATACAGTGGAGGAGTTTGCTCATATGGAGGAGTTCGCTGATACGTAGGAAGGGAGCAGCAAC